TGGCGCAGCGGGCAAGGCACGAGCGGCCCGCCACGCAGGCTGTGGGTCAGCTCCCCTGGCCGGGCTCGAACCCAGGCCGCACAGTTACCAGCGCTGGGCCTTGGCCCCCAGGCCACAGGGGAGGCGGCGAGGGCAGAGCCTCCCAGCCCGCTGGTCAAGCTCTGCTGGAGGCCACGGCCCACGCTGCTGCCCCCTGGCGGGGCCGCACCGGGCCGGGCTTCTCCCAGGACGCCCGAGGGCTCCCTGTGTGGCTGCTGCGGACCAGGACAGAGCTGACCTGGGAGACGGCTGCACCCCAAAGTGACTCCGCGGCCCCCTCCCAGCTACACACCCTGAACACGCTTGCACACGAGTTCAGTCACGGAACCATTCAGCGGACGGACAGCTGAGCCGAAGAGGACAGCGCCCTCCCCTCTGTCCCGGGGGGGGGGTGCATCCTGGGGCCCCCCCCACCCCCTTTCCCAGCACAGCTCCCCTCCCACCTTAGCACGCTGCAGTAACTGTAATAAAGGCCACATGAGCGTGGGCTCGCGCTCAAAAGAACGGTGCGTTGCCAGGGCCGGGGTCGGGCCGGGGCGGGTCTGGGGGGGTGGCCTGGCCTGCCGATGGGGGGGGCGGCCCGAGGCCGGCGTCAGGCCACAGGCGGGGCCAGCAGCCCTGTCCAGACGGAGCCCGAGCCCGGCCTAGTTTGCGCCTGTCCCCGACCTACAATCAGACGTGCCCGCTCCCGGCCCCGTGACGGGCAGAGAGGCCGGTCCCCGGCCGAGGGCGCCCTGCTCCCTGTCCAGCCTGGGGCCCGGCAGGGTGGCGCCTCCCTGGCCAGGGCCCCTGGGAGCCCCAACCCCTGCAGGGTCACTCAGGCGCAGAGCTCAGGGTGGGTGCGGCCCAAGGCCCCTCCGGCCCGCCAGCGGGGTCAGCCGTGGAAGGGCATGCGACGCTCAGGCCCCAGCCGGACGGCCCCGCCCAGGACAGGACAGCGGCTCTGCAGGCCGGCCCCGGGTGAGGGGCAGTCCGCTGCGCCCTCCTAGGGGTCGCCGCGTCCTGCGCCCCGGCTGCCCCAGACGCCAGGCCACGGCCAGCAGCTGTGCCAAGGCTGCCTGTGCCAGGGCCCACCCCGCCCACTCACCGGGGCGTCTGCGGCCCCACTCCGGGGTGGGCATCCGCTGACCCTCAGGCCGGTGAGCCCCGGCTCCGAGGAGCAGCAAGAGGCGGGGCGCTCGGTCTGCACCTCACCTGGTGACAAAGGGGGCACTGGGGCGCGGGGACCCCTCAGCGGGGCTCTGGGCGCGGGCGATGCCCTCCCAGCCCTGCACCCGCCCTCCGCCCGGCACGAGTGCGCGGGGCGTGGGGCTGCGGGCTTCTCGGGCGGGCGCCCCGCACACCTGCAGCTCCTTGTCCGAGTACTTCTGGGGGTTCTTGCTGCCCTGGCTCTTCTTGCGCAGCTTCTTCAGCTCCGCCTGGCACTTGTCCAGGGCATCACCTTTGCCCCTCTGCTCGCTCTGGTACTTCTTGAGCGCGGCCTGCAGGCACCGGGGAGGCGGGGTGTGGGGCGGCCGGTGCCCCCGGTTCCCGGGGCAGCGCCTCAGTTCCCGGGCACCCCGGGGCAGGCTCCCCACGGGCGAGGCAAAGCGCAGGGTGGCCAGGGCCGGCCGGGAGGCCCCGTCCGGGCGCACGGGCTACTTACGCTCAGGTACCTGGAGTCCAGCTCCACCTTCTGCTCCAGCTGCACCAGCAGCTCG